ATAAGTTAGAACAGAATCAAGATATATTAGACACTTGTAAAGAATTTATTCAGAACGAAGAATCAAAGATTAATGAAAATGAGGATTTACGTGATGTTAGATTTAAAAAATAGTTAGATAGCTCTGAAAGGCTTCAAGATACGATAAGACAAATTCTAAAATCTTTGTAAGTTTATTATTTTTCACCCTATACTCTGTCTTCTTCTATGTATTTGCTTACTACTCATGAATAATATAAATGGGTGAGATCTTTTCTAGGTTTAAAGTTTGGAAATCACCTAAATATAAAGCCTATACAAAGAAAGGAAAATCAGTTAATGAAGGATCATACGTCTGTGAAGTACTTGCGCCATTAATAAATATAGTAATGAGTGATTTGCCTAGAAATCCTGTTGTATAGGATATATGGTAAGCGTCTAGTATCACCTATAAAATATTTCTCCCCTGTCATGCTTTTTTCTTATTTAATGATTTTCCTAAATAAGGGTGAAGAGGGAGTTCAGCTAGTACTATATGAAAAGGATCTCACAAGTTTGCACGAAAGCCTGATTATATGAACATAGCACAATTAGGAAAAGATGTAGAACTCGAAATAGTATATCTTAAAACTGGCAGGCCAAATTCCAGCCAAGATAAATGCCGGCGAGATCATAAAAAATTAATTCAATTATCCAAGGATTCTATTGATACTACTAGGATTTTATCGAAGCTCAAAAGAATATTCAATCAATTTTTCAAGAGGCAGAATTTGACTATATTTGCTATTAACATCACAGGTAATGCATTATATTTTTACTTTTCTTCAGTCATACTATACTTCCTGCTCTTGTATTACAAACTAATAGTCATGTTGCTTTTATTTTAGGTGATGTTATAGAACTTTATGCTATACGGAAAGAATCAGGTATTTATAAATACTGTTTAATAGAGGAAGCAACAATTCCATTGCATATAACTTTTCCAAGTGCTGTATATCCGCTTATACATGCGTTGATGACTCTGAGAATGGCCTTCGCATGTATAATTCACAAAATATTATATAGTTCTGACTCCGGAGATAGTGAGCATAGTTCTAGTGAAATGGTAGTAACGGTTTCGACCCCCAAAAATTCATAGAATAGAATTCGATTTCATGCATATAATTTTATGTAATTTTATTTTTGTGTGATATCTGATATGACATGCTATCATTAATAAAAAAATTTTATTAGTAAAAGTGCGTGAATTTTTTTTCACACTGTCACATGAATTTTTTCTTGAAAAGCTCACTTTATTTTATAAATTGTTACTGAAACAACATACAAGTAAAAAATAAGCCTTAGCCATGGAGAATATAATTATTGTGTTGGCCTCTAAATAATTAAACAGCCGTTAATTCCCTTAATATCTTCTTTAGTTGTATTAACATCGGAAGTAAGGTGATTAATGTCAGTGATGACTGTGTTCATCATTTTATTAAGCTTTCTAATTGCCTTTTATTATTTTTACGGAATTTTTTGAATTCAATAGCAGTTATGACTTTAACGGATGCAGGAGGTATTTCTATTCAGTTGTTGAAAGCAACTGAATAAGGGTATGATACGAGAAAGTCAGTTATTGTATTTACAAACTAACCTTGTTTTTCTTTGAGTCTCTCAACTAACTCTATGATCCTTTCTGCAGGACTGGGTTTGAGTTCATAAGGACCATTTTTACGGGTAAGTTTTTCTTCAGTTAATTTAAGAAAAAGCCATCCATCGACGTCTTGACCTAGTAACTTATTAATAGCATCCTCTTTAAAATGCGAACTCTTCATATGCTTCTCAAGATATTTTCTAATGTACTCTGGAGACCACTCCGTAATGTTAATGGAAGCTTTGTCAGTCATCATTAGATTACCCATTTTTTTTGAAATAATTATCAATTTATATATACAAAATTAATAAACGTGATATTATCACATTGATCACAAAAAGAATAATATAAATACGATTCAAAACAGAAAATTAACCTTTTTTGTTAAACAATCGGCAATGGGTAATCTTTATAAAAAAGTCATGTCAATCTGAATGTGATAATTTGCCAACTAGCCTGGACTAGTGCCACATAATTTAACGAGCTAATAAAGTTTCACCCAATAGTTTTTTTTTTCACCAAAAATGAAAAAAAGTCTATAAAATTCGAAAAAAAATAAACTAATTGTTATTTATATTACTGTTTCAATAAATGCGACCCTGGAGGTCAATTTCGTATATGATAAATATTTAATTATATTTTTTCGTGTGGGAATACACTGGATAATAAAAAATTTCTTGACAAATTTCAGCTGAACGCCCCTGCCAAAATCACGTGAACTTTTATTTTTGAATATTAACATATAAAGTATAAATAATACTATGCATGTAATCTGAAATAGATGGTCCTAGTGAGACTGATTCGTTGAAACGATGCATTGCCAAGCTTGAAGTTGAGAATGGCCAAGAATGTTAAGCTTAAGGTCAGAATTGTGAAATTGGAAGATAAGCAATTGCAAAATGAATTAATAAAAAATTTATTATCTGTATTGCGAAAAACGTGATCCTGTATTAATACAGGTCGGCAAAAGTGCTCAGCATTAAAAATTATAACGCACACGTGATTTGATCGAAGTTGTATTACTAGCAGATCTCTTGCGATATTGACGCGTAAATTTATTTTTTTGAATTCTATGAATGTACTGAATGCACTGAATGCTCCGTCAAAATTCTTAGATTCTTAGAATTTTTTATTTTCTATATAAAATGATTAATAATATACTGATACCATCTTTTCACATATATTACTCGAAGCAACTTAACCAACTTTCTCGCTCCATCAAAATAGATATATGACAACGTCTTACAACTCGAAAATATCCGTTATCACTGGAACAGGTAAGTAGTATTCACCCTGAAGTAGAAGATTTGTTAAATAAAGCAGTTGGAAATTATATTAAGAAAAAGGAGCATCAGAAGATGAAGGGGACTGAGCCTATTACTAGCGACTGTGAAACTTCGTTAAGACGAGAAAATGAGGAGTTGTGTATATCAAAACAAGCATTAGAAAAAAAGATTGAAGAGTTTCTCGATTTGCAAGAGCAGTATAAGTCTCATAAGGTAGCTATGACCAGGTCTTTAGAGGAGAGTGGCAGGAAAGTCACCCAATTATCAGATTCAGTAGCTTTCTTCAAAAGTATAATTCCTGATACAAAAAAAGCTATTGCATCAGCTGAAAAGTCCATCAACCTGTTAGAGAATAAATGCCAGAATCTGGAGGATATTATTTCCGCTAAGGACAGAAAAATTATTGCTCTTGTTGATCAAATCCTTTCTAAAATGGAGCATAGTGATGTGACTATAAAACCAAAAACATATCCTAACACTCATGAAAGGAAATTATGGCGAAGAGGTGTAATGAATCTGAACATGATTTAGAAACCCAGAAAAAATATACATTTCAACCTGTGTATTCGCATAGTCTATGATCAAGATTCAATATCATTTTTTTCAAAAGTTTGATCCCATCCTTTTCGTATCTGATGAGGATGATTTTGGGGTACTGTTAAATCGAAGATGATGAAGTTCTGATCACACAAATAGTTATTAACATCCACATATATGCTACGCCAATCATTAGCATATAAGTGAAGAATACGGACTAGTTCATCTGAGGTGGATCCATTGAAGAGTATGATATAATTTAATTCTTTTCTTATTAGCTTCAGATAATCAAAAAAACTCTGCGTTACATAGATTGGACTTATATTTTTATGACGTTCTTCAGTAAAATAAGGAACAATCTTCTCCTGAACTTTTTTCGAATTGGCACATAGGTTTTTGAATATAACAACTGTTTCTCTTTCTGGAGAAAACAAATCTATCTTTAGAATTTTATTAGGCTTTATTGCCCAGAATGTGATATTTTCACGATATGGTTTTAGGCTATTTGCAATTATCTGATATCCAGATTTGAGATATAGGTATTTCGGCTCGTTAAGATGGTGGCTGATCAAAACAAGGTCATCATTCAAAATATATCTAGTGCCACCTTTTTTTCCATTAAACATCCGATATAGCTTATTTCCCAATAATAGATTCACGACTTCGTTAGTTTTCCCTGAATTGGTCTGACCACTAACTAATATTGTGAAGGGCCATTGAGGAGTTGAATTTAGTGAATTAAATTTTTCGTATCTTTAATTTCATCAATATGGAGAATAATTTTGTCTACTAGATCAAGCTTTTTAGCTTTCATATTTTCTAAACTAAGTATTAATAATATATCAAGCAAAGTAAATTTTCTTAGTGAAATTTCAGTGAACTTAGTTCACCAAAATTGACTGATCAAGGGAGGGATTAGACTTCGCTCCACTCAAGAATCCTTTCTCAATTAGAGTATGTCTGATATAGGACAGGAGATCAGTGGTATATGGAATTTTGATAAGGCATATATCTTGTTCCTTGCATATATTCCGCTTCTTCTGATCACGTATCTTTTGTATTTTTAAAGTTTCATTCCTTTGATGATATAGACTATTGTAATGATAATATTGAGAACCTTAGAATTCGAATGTAAGACGTAATTCCTCATTATAACCATCTAATTGCATCCCATCTAAAAAATTAGGCCTATGTAATGGGAACTTCTTACCTAGCAGATCTTTGAAAATGTATCAGCATAGCCTTTCTCGAATATAATGGCATAAGGGGTACCATTCGAATTTTTTCATAATATATTTTAATGGATATTCCCACTGGTATGCACCATTTTCATAAGACCAAAGATATACACTATGATCATTTATTCGCCCGGTCCTTCCTAGGCATTGACCACCACGTCTTCTGGCATAATCAATAGCTTAATCTATCTCATTATTATTAGGAGAAGCATGAACAAAATGCACGGATAATATGTTTTGAGGTGAATATTTAACCTTTTCTGAATCGGATATTAACATCAATTCCTCTCTTACAAATCCTCGCTTTGGAGTATATTCTTCATCGTCGAGATAATAAAGCATAAATTCATTTTTAGATACTATGATTTTTCGAACTTTATGAAGACTTGGTGACCATATAGGATCAGTGCTCCTACGTACTGCTTCCATTCCATCTTCCCATTTAGCATTAGCAAGAAGATAGCGGACAGAGTCACCTTTCTTTAATGTTATTTCATCCTTACCAATGGGTCACTTCAATGATATTGACGGCTTAGATTCGACCTCTTCTAATAAAATAGCTTCTGAAGGTGCTAATCCCCATTTTGAAGAATCTGGTTCTCTAATAAGACACGTGGGATAATGGTTTAGGTAATCAACAACTTTTGGCAAATGTCTAACCCATGCTCTTATTAACCTTAGATCAGAAGATATAGACTCAACAGCATACTGAATCTTATAGAACATGTCTCCTTTTGTTTTATTAAAATGTTCTATCATTGCAGTACCTCTATGGCTATAGGATCCTATTACTTGAATCATGACATTGTACTCTTGCATTAGTCAGGAAGTCTCGCTTATAAATTCACGACTACTATCACATTGTAGAAGCTCTGGCCATGTTAATGGGTTATTTCGATCACTATATTTTTTCCTAAATGCTTTAGCAACTTCATGGGCATTTTTTGATATAAGTAGAACTGAAGCCTTATATCGGGAAGCGCAGTCTATTATATTAAGTACCGCTTTATAGGTCTTATCTCTGTAATGATCATGGGTAAGAAACATTATATCACATTGATGAATACAATTTGGTCAGGTTATTTTTCCATAACTGACTCTAGGAATATGCTTAGGTGGGGGTATATAGATTTGGTATGATTGCTGGTGTCTCAGCCAATCTTTTACATCTTTTAAGTGAAATCAGTGCCACTCTTTTTTTACACGCATTTCTTAGGGATTTAGGATTAGAATAATATCCAGTTGGGCAATAATATATATCACGCAATATGAGATTTTTTTCGATTCTTTTAGCCTCATCAGGATCTATCAAAATTTGTGG